GAGGGACTACGAACGAAGGCCCTCATGAATCCAAGGAAGCACCAAATCAAACTTCCGCCCCGTACCCTCCTGAAGCACTAGCCATTCGAGCCACCAAGCCTCACATCATCTCACATCCTCACCCATAAACCCCCTGGTTTAGGGTTTAGAAGCCTAAACCATAACCCTCAACCTTAAACCCACAAACCCCGACTCTGGAGTGGTCTCCTGATCGTCGTCTTGCAGCTTCTCGTTGGCGTCTCTACCTTTCAGGGTCGGCCTTCATGGGTTTTTGGGATTCTTCACGGTTACCTGTGGTCTCCATTGTAGTTCCTTTTTGGTGATACCTTAAAAAATCCTTAATATATAACTGGTTAAACCAAAAAAAGGAACTACAATGGAGACTATAAGTAAACTTATTCAACTGGCATTTGTTGTAGGGGCTTTGGTGAGCTTCTTGCCAACGGCCACGTCGACGGGTCGAAATGTCTGGAGGGGTCAATGCGAGGCCCTAAACCCTAAAACCTAAACGGGGATGCGAAGCGGCCTGTGAAAGAACAGCACAGGCGGCAAACAGACCGACCTCAAGCTTAGACATCTAATTCTTTCATTCACTCCTGAGCTTCGAGGGGGTTACAAACGCCAGACCACTCAAAGAACACGCCGGGGATGGAGCATCCCTAAACCCTAAACCCTATTCCACCTCAAAGCCCGAAACCCCTCAGCCCCAAAAGGTGGAAATGGCCACTCTGAGGCAGGATTCGGACAGCTCCTCCCGTCCCCGACCCAAAAATGCAGGCCTCCAGCACCCGCTCCATCCTCGTTGCGATTTGTAGTCAGGAGTGAGGGTTTAGAGCTCTGGCTTCTCAGGTTCGGGGATTAGGGCATTCGGCCCCCCAGAAGGGCCACTGCAAGTGTACAACACACCAATATGCGGAAGAGCCAAATGCGCACTTGCCGAAACGCCAAGACAAACCCTGCTTCCCTTGGGGAAGTGCTCTCAAAAGATTTGGGATCTAAGTGCCCCTGCGAGGCATGGGGAGTAGGTTGTAAGCAAAGATGTAATCAGGATGAGCCTCACTTAGAGTACTGATAACCCTACCTGTGACCTACCTACGAAATCTCCTGAGCCTTCCGATGGTGGCAGTGGGTGGCGGTGGTTGTGGGGTTTTGCGCAGCGTGCGTGGCGTTGGTCACTGTGGTGGGGTGGTGAATGGATTTGTTGGCTGCTGCTGTTGCAGGTATCTGTTGTCATTGGTAGTTCTGGTTGTGCAGTCATCGTTTGTTGTTTAGTGCGGTGTTGACTGTTATGGTGTGGCGCTCCTGTTGGCGTTGTTGTTGATGGTGCTGTAGCTAATGCTGCTACTGATGGCTTAATTTATTATCGTCGTTGCCGATGTCGTCGTGATGTTACTTGATTATGTTCGCTACTATCGCTACAGATGTTATCCTTCTTTCGGTCGCCTTGCTGCTTTGCCCAACGTCCGGCCGAGCCTCGAGGATCCTTTGCTCCGCCTCATGCCTGCAAGGAGGGGCTTTCACAGCTTTCGGATTCTGCGAACGCAGGAGGTTCGAGGTTGCAGAAGTTTAACAGTTTTGTCTAACCCTAAACCCTAAGCCCTAAACTCTAAACCCATTTTTTTGTTCACAAGGACCCCAAAACCCTAAACCGTTCAGGCTCTTCGGGTGCCAGGGCTGGGGAGATTCACATCTGGGGCTACTGCGGCTTCGAAAGTTGCGGTGTTTTGGCAAGCGGGTTGTTGCGGTGGAACTTGGTAATATAGGGGCCTAAATAACTACCAATACTCTTTTGGGGTTCCTTATAGCTATAGCATAAGATGCCCCAAAACCTTATTCTTATTGTTAAGGCCCCTACATTATATAATATTATATACCCTAAACCCTAAACCCTAAACCCTAAACCCTAATTATATACCTGCTGTGTGTTGCAACATAAGCCAAGCAGAAAGGCGCTTCTCATGACCCCAGGCTCTCTGCAAGGCCTGGGATGCCCGGTGTCTGTTCTGCAGTGCGCTAACATCTGCCGGAACAGCTTACTAGGGTTTAGGGTTTAGGGTTTAGGGTTTTGGGTTTAGGGTTTAGGGTTTTACATACTGCCACGGCGTCCAGCAGCTGATGGTGCGTCAGGTTGTCCAGAGCTTATCGACTGGGCAGTCGCGCAAAGCCCCAATTCTAGAAACTGTTCGAGAATGTGTACATAGCCGAGCATAGCACCCGATCCAATTACATAGTCAATGAGATGGGGCCTGGTGAAAAGTCCGCCGAATCCAATGAATCCAATGTCTTCTTCGTCGGCGATGGGTGGGTGGGGAGCCAGAAGGTGTTTTTCTGCCAAACTCGCCCACAATTTCTCAATGGATAGCTGGGGGCTAAGCCACCTCCGCTCCCAACACTCAGACGCTACTAAACTTCTAGACTTGAACTTGTGAACCCTCGAAGCAGTGGCCTTGCTGCCGCCTCTGCCTGACGTGATGGCTTTGGGCTGCATAATACCATCGGTGCTTCTGGCCAACCCCTGCATACCATGGCATATATAACCGTGACAAATCTATAAGTATAAGGGACCTCAGACGCCTGGTTCTGAGCTCTCTATGCTCTGCTTCTGCGATTTTTTCTCGCAAGGTTTAGCTTAGGTGGCTGCAGAGGATAGTCCCACAAGCGTGCCTTCGCGAGCATGTCTGCTGCTGCCTGCAGGTGTCCGCACGGGCAGGTGAGCTAAAAAAAGTCATATTTCAAGATATCTGGTTTTATGTGCATAAACCTTAAAACAAGTGTATGTGTGTACATATGTATGTGTGTACCAGGTGCGTATATGTAAAAGTTGTTGAAAAAGCCATTCGATCACCGGCACGTTTCATCCTTTAGATGACTCACAAAATCGGCTTCGTGTGCGAACATACTCGCCAAAGACGGCATTTTCTCTGAAACGGTGCACGTGTCTGAAGGTGGCTAAAGACTGCTACATGTACAATATTGTTTTGCCTGTATGGCTCTTCCGCTTAGCGGCAAGAGCCTACTGCAAAGGCAGCCAGAGAATGACTGGGGTGCCGAGCTTCACTGCCCCAAGGTGCAATGAGGAGGTCCGGGGGGTTTCCGAAAATAGGGGACCCTAATCTAGTAACCCTAGTAGGATCCTTATTATAAGGACCACCAAAATAAGGTACCCCTAATGTTCGGAAAGTCCCATGTGCTATCCCGTGGTCCACTGGCTATGTATAGTCTCCATTGTAGCTCCTTTTTTTGGTTTAACCAATTATAGATCAAGGATTTCTTAAGGTATCCCCAAAAAGGAACTACAATGGAGACTACAGGTAGGTTATGCACTGCTGGGCTATCAGATCTGCACAGACACCATAGCTATGGAAATTGTTCATGTCAGCGGCTCCTAATGTTGGCTTGCGCCAGGGAGCCTAACTGAAGATTTTCGGAATGCCACCAAGATCTCAGCCGTTCGCAAACAGATCCCAATCCTTGAAGCACGCTCTTCCCAACCGCGCAACCTAACCTCAAGCTCCTGACGTCCGTCGCACCATCCTAACCCTAGGCCCGAAATCCCAAAATGTACCATCCTTTTGCTAGTGCCCAGCCTTGAGAAGCCGTTCGAGGACGCTGCAGTGCGCCTGCGCAGGCAAGCTAAGTAATGGAACTACTGTCCCGGGATGTCAAGGCTTGTTGGCTCCTGATTATGTACTTGGACAGACTGAATATACCAGGGTCTTCAAATTGGAAGGGCCGTACCCTGAACGAAGGAGTCACCGGAACAGGGTTGAATCCCAGGGTACCGGCTTGTCTTGCAGTGGGCCATGCGATACCGACCAAGACTTAGTGGCAACATGGATTTGGTCCTTCTCAGCCAGGCTTTGGTGTTGACGCTCACACTCGCACAAAGCCAAGCGAGGTCTGCAAACGAGTCAACGCAAGAAAGCCACGCCGCCAGAAGTGCTGATTCGCATACCCAGCTCTACTGTCAAGTGCAGCTTCAGACACGACAGCAACAAGTACGCACCCGATAGAGCAGCCGCATTGACAGCTTCACCAGGCAACAAACCGGACAACACCCACGCCCCACACCCTAGCTCAGTCGAGTGACGAGTGAACAGCAGCCGTAACTGAACTACTCACTCGCGCGAGGCTCACCCTTGGACCTGTCCCATGCAACCTCATTTACTGCCATGCCATATGAAGCACAGAGGCTTCCCGAATACACTTGCTGTAGCATGCTCGGGAATCTTCACGCTCTCACAACTCAAACGAGCCAGATAAGATCTGACGGTTCGCAGTCGGCAAGAACTATAGCTATAGACATAAAGTTAGCATGTGTAACTGTAACTCTACAGCAATCCCGAGCTGAAGACCTGTGCTGTGTGTTTTAGGCATTATTCTGACTCTCCCAACTCGCAAGCGAGGCTGAGCTTTAATTTTCGTCCGAGGTCTAATGTAGGTGCCTAATTAATTAATTACCTATTTTGTCTTGGGGGTTCCTTATTAGAATTATGGTATAGTGGGCCCACAAGACCCTATTCTAAGTATGAAGGCCCCTATATTAGCCTCGACTTCATCCTCCGGAACGACGCCCACGGCACACCTTGCACTGATCGATACTCATGGCTTCGGAACAGCATCGGGATGTGAAACCTGTGTGCCTATACACACAACAAGTAACAAGAACCTCAATGCATATGAGCACATACATCGTACATACACACATACGTACATGCATACATAGGTACATGTATACATAGAAACATACATGCATATGTACATTCGTGCGTATGCACGTACGTGCACACACACACACACATACATTCGTTCTTACATACACACAGCGCACATAATCATACATGTATTAAGATGATGCACGTGTGCAATGTGCATTTACGCATGTTTGAGGACTCCGGGTCCACGCACACGTCTGTGCACGTGCGCGCGACCCCCGACCCCGACCCACAAGACGACTAATAGGTCCTTGCAGCCCCTTTAAGAACTTCTAGGAAGCAGGCACGTATTCTTCACCAACTGTCTCGATCTTCGTGACCTGCCATCGGCACAGTTCCAAGCAAACCCCTACACAACAAGCCGATACAAGTCCCGCGTCTAGCATGTCTGAGTTCATACAGATCAATAAATAAAGATCAGGAGGCCTGGTGGTTCGAGCAGATGACGTCCATCATCGTGAACCTTTGGGTACTTCGTTTGAATTGCCACGAACTTCAATTTCTTAGGGCCTGGCTTGGATTGTAAAGAAGCGGAATGCTTTGTTTTAAGTGCTTGTGCATTCTTGCTGGCCGCACATGCTCCATGTATCGAGGCTTTGTTAGCAGGGGTAGCGGCATGCACGTGGACCTTCCCCGCTCAGGGGTGTGAACACTTTGCGCTCCGGCGCCATGGGGAGGGCTTACCAAGTCGTAGTCTCCTTTATGCCAGGCTTCCGGATAGAGGCCAGGAAAAACAGCAAAGCACCTTCAGGGGTCAACCTGGGCCTCTCTTTGGGCACTTTCGTTCATAACTTCTGAGCCTTCAAACGTAGCTTCATATCAACCAGACAACCAGACACAGCCGGGTCTCCGAAATAGTTGTCCATTCTTCTGTTGGTCAAAAAGCAGCAAATGTGCTCATGCTTTTGGTATCTGGTCGCAATCTTGAACTAAGAAGTCACAACAGTGACAACCCACCAAACACCGAACAAGGTTTTAAATGCACTCTGCTCCCACTCGTACCCCCCTACGCCACAAACCGCAGGCTCCGTGCTGATTGTTGAGGAACTTGATGAGGTTCTCCGGCCCAAGGATTCGTGCCTCTTTGGTGACATATCAAGTCCGCAGTGCACGGCATGTTGTTTGGCAACCTTCAACCGAGAATCTCTAAAAATCCGGAGCCTGAAACCAGGTCCCCTTCTGGCTTTCGAATTCTGATCTTTTGCGTCTAGAGCTGAGACGTCCACGTGGTGGTACAAGCTGTAAACCAGGTCCTTTCTTAGGTTTCACTCTCCGCCATCCTTGGTCCTACTTCAGGCTTGACGGGGCGGGCTCCCCCGTAATGCAAGCGCACAAACGAGTTGTATGTGATTGACAGACATGCAATCAGTGCCACATCGAAACCGACATGCACTCGCGCACGCCCACACACACACACACACACGTGCGCACCCACACGCACACAATCTCAGTCTCAGTCACTTGGGTCAGAATGGTCAGAAGCTACCTATAGTCTCCATTGTAGTTCTTTTTTTGGTTTAACCAATTATATATTAAGGATTTTTCAAGGTATCCCCCAAAAGGAACTACAATGGAGACTACAGGTAGCTCTCGCTCTCTCTCCATCTCTCCCAGTCTCGGTCTCGTTGCTCGGCCTTGGGCAGTATTGTATTGCTTGCTTGCTCTTGCTCCCTGTCTTTTGGTTTTCCAGCTCCCTCTATCTTGGTGGCCTTCCCTCATGCATTGGCAAGGATGCACGGTGCAATTCAACTTGCTCATGTGTTTGATGGCCGACAGTCTATCATACCTGTCTCCACGGAGAGCGAGGCTTTTTATGTGTACGAAAGGGCCTGTGTCAGAACAGAATAAACTTCGGTCACGACTATTGTTGCAAGGCCTGCTCGTCGAAGTTCTCGATCATCACGAAAAGAATGGACCTTGTCGTCGGTGCAGGCTGTACGACTGTGGACAGAGTTGAGAGGCGTTTCCGACCCGATTCAATATAACAGTATATTCGATTATCCTACTGTGTGTTATCTGATATTACTCTGCGTCATACTGTATGATGTTATACTGTACTATGTCATACTATCTTCTACCATGCTATGCTATTTCAGAACTATTTCAAAACACATACTATAGTACATCATGTGGAATCAGTCCTGCAGGGACGGGAGCCTTCCTTCCAAAACCGAGGGCCCGGCACAGTGTCCTTGTGTTCGGCGACGACTTCGCCCGGGTCTTGGTGCGATGTCTCAAATCATACACTATGCTCTGCCGTATAAATGTTATAATATGATGGAGGTCCTATCATAGATTATTCTCTACAGTGTTTTCTTATAACATAATACAGTCTAGTATAATCGTTTGATAGTACTCGATTATCAGCGGCAGTCGACGGTCCACAGGGCTCCGGCTCTTGAGCATCGGCAGGATGACATGTTCGGGAACCTGGGAACGGGTCTCGGGCACTCTGAGGCTTTACCGAATATAGGGGCCTTAATAATTAGAATCGGTTTTTTGGATATCTTATACTATAATTATAATAAGAAACCCCAAAATAGTATAGGTGATTATTTAAGCCCCTATCTTAAACCTGTCCGGCAAAATCAATTCTTGCACTGCCCGGTGCCACAGGCAGCCAAGTGGCCATCTCGCACAGGATGCAGAAGATCTTCTTGCTGGACTCCTGCCTGAGTTCACTGAGACGAAGAGGAAAAAGCACAGGGTCAGACTGAGATATACCTAAAGTCTCCATTGTAGTTCCTTTTTTTGGTTTAACCAATTATTAACTATTCAGGATTTTATAAGGCATCCCCAAAAAGGAACTACAATGGAGACTACAGGTATACAGGCCCCCGCACGGCCCGGAGAAGTCCTAGCTCCGAGGTCGCGGCTGCTCCTGGTCGTAAAAAAACTTCGACCGCTGACCTTTCTCAATGAAAAACCTGAGCTGAAGCAGAGGGGATAGGGTTTAGGGTTTAGGGAGCAACTGCTCAAAGAGATGATGCCTGTTCTGGAGGAGGTCAAGGTCCGTGCTAGCAGCTGCTAGCAGCTAGCAACCGAAAAAAACGGTCATGAATTTGAGCTAGAAGCTGCCAGCGGCCGCTGTTAACAAGACGAACTTCAGACGTGAAGTTTTAGCCTTACATCACATTCCACCCAAAAAGAAGAGACTGCTGGCGAAGCTAGGAATTTTCAGCCATGGTCAGCCAGGAAGATTCAATAACATGGCAAACATACTTGCCAGTATGATTAACGGCACGCTTGCCTACAACCGAGGCCGCCCCAAACATACTGACTGGTTTTAACGACAGAGATGCCAACCTTGCCTAGGGTCTATCTAGAATCTAGAAAGAGAGTCTTCACAACGCAACCATGGAAAAATCTTGTGCCAAGCCCCCCCAAACGGCCTGCACTACTACCTGCAAGCTTCGCAACGCCATTCAGGACAAATGCTATCAAGAACAACAGCGCCATGAAACTCAACGCCACGCATCACCATCACCACAACCAACCAGCAAAGACTAACAAGTACAGAAACACGGGCAGCAACAATGTCACAGAAACGGAAATTTCTGAAGCAGCAACAGCCTCGATCACATGAACAACTGCGACAACAGCAACCACAATCGCCACACCCGCAACCCACAAGCAGAAAAAGACAGCCATCAGTCACAAACTTACCAGATAATCACAATCAGCCACGGCGGGTCCAAGCCCACTTGGGGGTTTCTGAAAACAGGGGACCCCAATATAGTACCCTAAATAATAGGATCCTTATTATAAGGACCCCAAAATAAGGTACCCCAAGTTTTGGAAGCTCCCACTTTGTTGTTACCAAGTTCCAAGCTAATGGGGAGCTTGGAGGTCCCAAACAAGCGAATGAACAATCCAGCAACTCCTGCGCAAGAGATTACGGATAACTACGGTACAGTTCAGAATAAAGTGTGCCGAGGAACCTTTACCCTAGACCCTTCTGTTTCTGCACCTGAAACCCTAAACCCTAAACCCTGAAAACCCTAAAAACCCTAAAAACCCTAAACCCTAAACCCTAAATCCCTCAAACCTATACCCCTATTTGATGGAGAGCCCGTTGAGGGCCCAGCTTTCGGCGGTCTGCGACCAGGGAGACGAAGCAGAGAATGCCAACCTCTCGGCACCATATGGGTAGTTGTCAAAATTAGGGTCCCTTTTGGGGTACCCTAAATAATAGGTGCCGTATTATAATAAGGGCCCAAAAAGGGACCATCATTTTGACAGCCACCCAAAAATCATGGCTCATTCCGGTGGCTTAATTCGGGTAGGCTTTAGGGGCATACTATTTCGAACTATTCTGGCGTCTAGGTTAAGTCATGGAATCATGGCTATCTAGTCAGTACGACTGAATCCGAGTGTTGCCAGCCTGAAACTCAGTCACGCACCCCGTGACGAGACATGAGTTGGGGAGGGTGCAGATCGCTGCCCTCATCATGAGGGGAACTCCCATGTTGTATGCGTCACCGTATCCGTGCCGTCTGGATAAGCAAGTCTCTCTGTTATGAGCATACAGGGTGTCAGTGTTCCGTTCCCTCTTCATGTCCGAGTGGTGAAGTATCGCTGCTTTCAACACTAGCCACATGCACTACGAGCAGTGCCACATGTGTAATGCTACCGTGTTTCGCCGACTTGGTGGATGGGGTGTAGGAAGAGTTTGTTTTGATTGTGTCCTCTAGTCTGCGAAGGTGGCGCTGCAGGGTCGGAAGGGCCCAAAAACACAGGCCTTAAACTTGATCTGAGCAGGTAAATGGTCCTGCGAGATTTTGAACGAGTATGAGGTATCCGGGAAAAAAGCGCCTCTGGATTGGACACAGCCTGATGCTGAGAAATCTGGCAAAACATGGTCTTGGGACATAGCTAGGCCTAGGCCTTACAATGGTGAGGAGTTGAGGGGTGGATAGTTGGGTTTCCCTTCGAAGCCACCAGCAGCAGAAACCTACGTCACAGAGCCCCCTCAAGGCCTGGAATCTCTGAATACAGCCATCACCGCTCTCAGTTGCCAACCTTCCCCAAGCCCCACCATTTTGTTAGAAGCCTTTGATCGTATCGGGCTTTCAGTTTGGGTTGGTGTAGCCAAGAAAGCTTCTGGTCCGGGTGGAAGCTCATACAATGTTGCTCATTTGGGATGGTAGAGTCCCGAAATCTGCACTCCTCTGAGGCCACCACCGTCACGAGCATGTCCGTCTTGTGGTAGGAGAGAGGCCTGAGGTGGGAGATGCTGGATTTCCGGTTTCCAGTTTCGGCGCTCGCTGGGCAAATTGTGATCAAGCAAACGCACCCGGCTTCAGCGATGCTGCCAATCTTCGAATTATTCCGAGATTCGGAAACTTCAACAGCCCTCCCCAGCCCTAAACCCTAAACCCTAAACCCTAAACCCTAAGCCCTAAACCCTAAGCCCTAAGCCCTAAACCCTAAACCCTAAACCCCGGTCCGAACCCACCCCCCCCCCCCGTTGTGGGCTCAGGGGGTCCGACCGCTTCTCCGACTCGACCCAGGGAGCGCTGTAGCCTTCGGAGACAGATACGGGTTTCCTTGGAGGTTCGTGGGTAGTTATAAGTGGGGTTATGGGGGTTCCTTTAAGGGTTTAGGGTTATGGGGGTTCCTTTAAGGGTTTAGGGTTTAGGGTTTAGGGTTCATGGGTAGTTATAAGTCGGGTTATGGGGGTTCCTTTAAGGGTTTAGGGTTTAGGGTTTTTGGGTTTAGGGTTCATGGGTAGTTATAAGTAGGGTTATAAGTCCCCTAATAGGCCCTATATAGTAGGTACCTAGAGGGTTAGGGTTGGTTTTCCTTAAAAAATATTTCCTTGGAGGTTCATGGCTAGTTATAAGTAGGGTTATGGGGGTCAGGGTTATGGGGGTTCCTTTAAGGGTTTAGGGTTTAGGGTTCATGGCTAGCTATAAGTGGGGTTATGGGGGTTCCTT